CTGCTGGTGCTGAGGACCCGGACGGTGGAGCTGCTGCTGGTGCTGAGGACCCGGACGGTGGAGCTGCTGCTGGTGCTGGGGACCCGGGCGGTGGAGCTACTGCTGGTGCTGAGGTCCCCGGTGCTGGTGTCCCTGCTGGCTCTGGAGACGCTACGAGGCCGCGACCGTACTTCGTCCCGCTCCTTCAGCAGGTTCTTGGTCTGGCTCCTCCTCCTTGTCCTCCTCCCTCCATAGAGTGTCTGCAGCCTGTCCAGTCGCAGTCACAGTTACCGCCTACCTCGCCTCTCCCTGGTCCCTCTCCCTACACTGGTCCCACAGGAGGTCTTACCGAGCGTCGTGAGCCTGAGTCTCGTCCTGCGTCGCCTGTTCGTCCTGCGCGCACTAGTCGTCGTGGCACACGTGAGCGTCCTCCTCCTGTCCCTGGCACTCACTACATGACACTGCGTCGCTCCACTGCTCCTCAGCGTGTCCCTCTGCCGTCTCCTCCTGCGTCCTCTCTCCCTACTCTTCCTGACCCGGAGTCTGACTCTCGTCGTGCTGCCAGTCCCACAGTCACGCGTCTCCTCGCCACTGTTGTCACTGACCCTACCTTTGAGTCCTCTGCTGCGTCTGCTCTGGTCGCTGAGTTGGTTGACTTTGCTGCCGCGTGCCGTCTAGACTTCGCCGCTAGCCTTGTTGCTGGGTCTGAGTCTGTCTGTCCTCCGTCCGTCGGGGGTGAGTGTGCTCTAGGCACGGACGTCCTTGAGGACAGGCAGGAGGAGTTCCAGTGCTTTGCTGCTGCTTTGCCCCATCTTGTGTCCATGCTAGTTGCCCCTGAGGGAGACCCAGATGCACCAGACATCCCGACCCCGCGCTCTTACGCAGAGGCGGTGGCAGGTCCCTACTCCTCTCAGTGGCAGACAGCCATGGACGCAGAGATGGCTTCCTGGAAGTCCACAGGCACCTACATCGACGAGGTTCCCCCACCTGGGGCGAACATCGTCAGTGGCATGTGGATTTTCAGGGTGAAGCGGTCGCCGGGTTCTCCGCCTGTCTTCAAGGCACGCTACGTGGCTCGAGGCTTCAGTCAGCGCGAGGGAGTAGACTTCTTCCAGACCTTCTCCCCCACCCCGAAGATGACTACTCTTCGGGTGCTGCTGCACATAGCCGCTCAGCGAGACTACGAGCTTCACTCTCTTGACTTCAGTACTGCTTTCTTGCAGGGCAGTCTTCACGAGGAGATCTGGCTGCGCCGCCCTCCTGGCTTCACTGGGTCGTTCCCTCTTGGTACCCAATGGAGGCTCAAGCGGCCAGTCTACGGTCTCCGCCAGGCGCCACGTGAGTGGCACGACACACTGAGGACGACACTCGCGGCACTTGGGTTCGCTCCTTCTACTGCTGACCCGTCGCTGTTTCTACGCACTGACACCTCGCTGCCGCCGTTCTACATCCTCGTGTACGTCGACGACTTGGTCTTTGCCACTGCTGACACTCACGCACTCGCCCACGTGAAGTCGGAGCTGCAGAAGCGACACACGTGCACAGACCTGGGTGAACTGACAAGCTACCTTGGCTTGCGGATCACTCGGGACAGAGCACGGCGCACCATCACCTTGACTCAGTCACACATGGTGCAGCAGGTCCTTCAGCGCTTCGGCTTCACGTACTCCTCGCCCCAGGCCACTCCTCTGCCTACAGGTCACTCGCTCTCAGCTCTGCCTTCGGATGAGTCCGTAGAGTCGAGTGGCCCGTATCCAGAGCTTGTTGGCTGCCTCATGTACCTGATGACCTGCACTCGACCTGACCTTGCATACCCTCTTAGCATCCTTGCACGCTATGTCGCTCCTGGCCGTCACAGGAAGGAGCACATGGATGCCGCTAAGAGGGTGTTGCGCTACTTGTGCAGTACGTCGGGCATGGGGCTAGTGCTTGGAGGGCGAGACCGTGTTGTACTCACTGGACACTCAGACGCTTCTTGGGCGGACGACCAGGCTACTCAGCGGTCGTCTCAGGGTTACACCTTCAGCCTTGGCTCTGGCTCAGTTTCTTGGCGCTCTACACGCTCTTCTTCTGTTCTCAGCTTCAGTTGTGAGGCTGAGATCTACGCCACAGCCATGGCGGCCCAGGAGCTACGCTGGTTGACCTACCTGCTGACTGACTTGGGAGAGCGGCCTCGTTCCCCTCCAGTGCTGTACGTTGACAACAAGGCTGCCATTGCCTTGTGTGAGGAGCACAGAACGAAGCACATCGCTCTGCGGTACTTCCTTGCTCGAGAGCTTCAGCAGCGTGGTCAGCTTTGTCTCCGTTACGTGGCCACTGAGGCCAACACTGCTGATGTGTTCACCAAGGCGCTTCAGCCTTGTGACCATCAGCGCTTTTGCACTCTCCTAGGTCTTGTGCCTACTGGACCTCACTTGCTCACTTCTTGACTCTGTTTGTACTGTGATCTTTATATATACCTGCATGTTTACTCTTGCTAGGTTGTGATCATTGTACCTCTTGCTCTATTATAAACCTGCATGTGAACTGGTCTTGTGACCGCTTGCTTGTGCTCAGAATTTGTGTGGAATCCTTGAGATCCACCCTGAGCTTGTTTTGCCTTGCTCTGCCTTGACTGGTCTTGTGACCCCTAGTTCTCCCCCACTTTGCCTATGGGGGTGTGTCAAACATTATATATGTTATGCTTGTGTAGGCTACAGTGGGTTAGCCTATACGGGGTACACAATTCTAGGGTTAGGTACTTGTACTGTTTTGCACTGTTAGTTCATCATTCCTGTTCGTTCTTTCCGACAAGTAGCTCAAAACCTAACCAGAGGCCTGCTTCGCATCCCTCGTTTCAGCTCTCGTCAACTACTCTACCTCGTCAAACAATCACAGCCCAGCTCAATCCACTAACTGCAAAAGAGCCTACTGCGATCAAGTGTTGATCGTCACCAGGATCTACTCAGGAAGGTTCGCACGCAGTAAGGTAGTGTTGGTGGGCCCTTGACCTCAATAGCAGAGTGAATGTAAAATGCTTGAGATAATTAAAACATGCAAGCACAACGATATAAATAAGAGTACAAGGGAATACGAAACGACCTAACTAGCCATGTACTCTAAGGGGTACATTCCCTTATTCAAATGCATCCCCAACCGTGCCGCGCGTACAGTTACGAAACTGTTCCCGCCGAAACCATCCTGCCTGCACTTACCCGATGCCGTTTGCTCCGACGGTCCAGATGCGCCTTAACCGTCTGACGCTTCGAGTCAACTCTGACTCTTCGTGTTCACTCTCGATACTGCATGCTTCCTTTTGCTGCGGTGAGGAGTGCACAGTAATAAACAAACATAAGTATTCGTAACACTTCCAACCCTCGCACATCACGAGGTCCACGCCTAGCTAGTTTTTGCCAGGGCTGACGTTTCAAATTTAGGTACCCTGAGGTTCACCTAAAATTTTTGTTTTTACCCTGAAGGCATATTTTCCAGAAAAACAGCACCCTGATTGCTCAGTGTTGGAAAGTTATATAGTCTGATTGTTCAGGGTCGAGAAGTCAGGATCAGAGTAGTAACGCACTGTGCATTATCGAACTGAACCTCGATTTTGGGTGTATCGGAGCCCAATTTCGAAGAAACTTCGTTCCGATAAAGCGGGGGCCCTCGCACATGGGTATCGTTCTGTTGGCGCATTACGTGTGCTTAGCCCTAACAACGAATATTCTAGGGTATTGCAAGAAGTGGTTAAAGCCCACGTCGAGCCTCTTCATTCGTTATTGTGTACCGAACCTGGGAGCATTTGCTGTGCGCCTATGGGTAAGAGAGCGCATCACAACCAGTGCGTTCGGACCTTACTTCGAAACTTCTCTCACGGGCAAACTGGAGGCACCGCTAGTGCGAACCCCATCCGCCCATCGGAGTGGGGATAAGGGGACGCACAAGCAGTAACGGGCAGGTCTCAACGCCCATTTTTGGGAAATCGAACGATGATTTAACTCACAACAAAAACATACCAAGTGAGAGAAAGGGTGAACCCAAAGGCCGAAGGTTTGTGAGTGGTTGGAGTGAAACATTCTGAGCATCTGGGCAGACTAAGCATTGTGAACGGGAAAAAAAACTTATGCTGTTTGCAAACACGTTTTGTCGTTAGCGACAAACTTCGCCGAGGCCGGGGGAGGGTTGACCCCTTCGAGGAAAGCCCATCCCGCAGTGCTTGTGCAGAAGGCCCAAATAGCTCATGCGGCAACAAAACGAGGCCATGGGGGTGCACGTACGATGAGAAGTTTTTTGGAACCTTCGTCCCGATAATGTTTCATTCGGGGTCGCTCGCGTGCTGGCTGTACTACGATCAATCCGAAGGCGGGGTTATCGGGAGGAAATGCCCAAGAAACTTCCTCTCGATAAGGTCGATTTTAGGAACCACAGAGTCTATACTCTGTAAAGTCAGGGTCCACTGACAGGCTAGTCTATTACACTTTACTCAAAATCAGGGATACGAAATCTAGTACTCTGATTGGATCAGTGTTGAGAACACGAAAATTCTGAAATTTCAGTCTCCACAAAGTGGACAGTCTGAAATCACCCTGAAATCAGGGTAATTACCCTGATAAAATCAGCCCTGGTTTTTGACCTATATTAAGCTTTCTTCATTGTTTCTTCATTCTGTAACCACATTCTCTTTATTAAGTCTTCCGTGCACTCTGTTTAGTACAACTCATAACACACCACCTGCACGTGGTACTGCTGAACGCCCCTGCTCTGGAGGCTTGCTACAAGGTAAAGGAATTTCCCTCCTGAACGGTTTTCCCACCAAGAAGCCGTTCCGAGTGGTACAACCTCCCGTATTCAATACAAGAGTCTAGTACAGTAAGGTAACAGCATCAATACCACCATCGGTGTTCCTGTTGCCTTACAAAGTTACCGGTAATATCCTTGCGTACCGGTACCGTATGTACATTTCAATGTTACACCCCACATTAATACGTACGACCAGCCACCAATGGAACACTACCACTTGCTAAAAGAGAATAACGGGCCTTCCCTTATGCAACCACTTGCACCCCCTGTGCTGCAACAACATCATCTGTGCTGCCATTCGAGACAGAAGGCGTGGCATCCGCGAAAGCGCCGATGTCATGTGCGTCCTCCACCGCTGCAAAGGAGGCGTCCAGGCCCACTGAGAAGAGCGCCAGGTCGCTGGCCGCTGCATCCTCGTGGAATGCTGCGATCTGCCATGGGGGCCAAATTAAGGGAGCGGTGGGAGCGATGGTAATGTGTGGGAAGAGGGAATGCACGGGTTAGGTGGAATGGGTTAGGTGGAATGGGTTAGGTGGAATGGGTTAGGGGATGTAATGAGTAGGGGTGGGTGGCGCGAACTGCATGCTGTCAAGAACTAGGGGATGGAGGTGAGGTCACACATCAACATTGCTCTTCTCACACTTGCTCTTTTCACTTGCTCTGCTCACACTTGATCTTCTCACACTTCTCACACTTTCTCACATTGCTCCTCTCACACTTGCTCACACTTGCTATTCTCACACTTCTCACACCTGCTCACACTTGCTCTTCTCACACTTGACCTTCAACAGCACCCCCTAAACCACAGCAGAACCAGCCTGTATTCCTCTCTTCCCCACCACAGGACCAGCCAGAGCAGCACCAACCCCCGCTCTCTCCCCACCTTATCAGCCATAGCGAGCCCGCTGCACGGAGGGGGCAAGCATCCATCGTCAATCCCCACCCGCGAGTAGAGAGGACAAGCCCCCCCTAGTAGCGCCATCAGGCCAGAGCACGACCAACTCCCCTACTCTCCCCACCTTATCAGCCATGGCGAGTCCGCTGATGGCAGCGGCCTGCACGGAGGGCGCGAGCAGCCAGTCACTGCACAGCCCCACGCGAGTAGAGGCGTCCATTATGCATTCCACGCCGCCCCCTGCTGCTGTTGTTGGCGCGTTCAGAGGCAGTGCCGCCCCCCTGGATGGGATGGGGATGGGATGGGTTGCAGTGTAAGGGCGATCAGCACAGCCCCACTCGAGTGGTGGCATCCATTATGCATGCCTCGCTTCTGAGGCGCCTAAAAAACGACCTGGTGGCATCCATTATGCACGCCTCGCTTCTGCCTGCCGCTGTTGCTGGGGCGTTCAGAGGTAGTGTTGTTTTCTGGATGGTGGGAATTGAGGTGGGGTGGGGTCAGGTGGAATGGGATGAAATGGGATGGGATTGGAAACGAACACATCGGGGCCATCCACCACAGCACCCAGGTAATACCGAGAGCACATAGGACACCCACCAGAGCTGGATCTTGTGGAAGAGGACAGCAGGCAGTGAATTTGCGGGTCGCCCGAGTGCTGCTGCCACGCCCTCCAGCATCTCCTGCTTCACCCGCGCTGCCCTGGCTAGTGGGATGTTCTCCTGGTTGTCACAGTAACAAGGGGTGCAGTAGGGATGCAGTAAATGAGGTTGAGAACGGGCATATCTTTGGATGTAAGCGGAACCCAGGTGTGGTTGGGTCCCCTTAGCGCTGCTGCAACGCCCTCCAGCATCTCCTGCTTCACCCGCGCTGCCCTGGCTAGTGGGATGTTCTCCTGGTGGTGACAGTAACGAGGGGTGGGCATGGAGTGACACTGAGATGGGTGGGGTTGGCATGAGCATACCGAGGGGTGGGAAGGGTTATAAATTAACAAACAAAATAATAACATTCATTCTTTCCAAACGGGCTTCCAGTGAGCATGGAATGGAACCTAAACCACCGATGTATGCTTCACGCTGAACGGGCCTTAGTGATCTCAAAACGGGACCTAGTTTTTTCAGCATGTCCCTAACCCACCTGGGGCACTTTGTTGCGCTTGCCATACGCCGCACTGCTGAGCACCGTCCAGCACTCCACTCCATCACCCCTCCGCACCGCACCCAATCCCTCCCCACCGTCCCCTCCCCTCACGCCGCCCCCCTCTTCCCCCAGCTTGGCGCTGTTGTTGCACATCCACGCGACAGCTGGCACGCCCTCCACGAAGGCGGCGTCGAAGTGCCCACGTGGCGCGCTGCCATTGGCCAGCAGAGGCGTCTCGAAGGCGATGAGCGACACCCAGATGGAGCTCAGCTCGAGGCGCTGAGGGATGGATTGGGAGGCGAGAGAGGGAGGGGGACGGGTGGAGGGAAGGAGGGAATGGAAAATAGGGGACTTGTGAGTCGATCCAAGGGTCACCTCTGAGGGAGCGACGCGACGAGGGACGCCCAGATGGAGGTCAGCTCAAGGCGCTGGGGGATGAATTGAGGGGGCGAAGCGGTGGGGCCGGGAGAGAAGAAACGTATGGTATGGGTGTAGGCAGTGGGGGGGAAGGTGTTGAAATCACTTTTGAGAATTTCCAGAAGTGATTTCAATATAGCGGGTGTAGGCAGTGGGGGAGGTGCACGAGGCAGAAAGAGGAGGAGGTGGCAGGTGGGAGTGAGAAAGGCGTGTGGTGTGGAAAAACAGGCAGCGGCGGATGGCAGGCGGCACGGCAGCAAGGGAGAAACGGATTCTGGTGACGAGTATAAGGGGGTAGACATGGCAAACGGACTCCTCCTTGCGACCTTTGAGAATTGTCAAAGATGCGCTTGTGCCTTCTCCATGTTGCTTATTGTGCCTTCTCCATGTTGCTTATTGTGCCTTCTCCATGTTGCTTATTGTGCCTTCTCCATGTTGCTTATTGTGCCTTCTCCATGTTGCTTATTGTGCCTTCTCCATGTTGCTTATTGTGCCTTCTCCATGTTGCTTATTGTGCCTTCTCCATGTTGCTTATTGTGCCTTCTCCATGTTGCTTATTGTGCCTTCTCCATGTTGCTTATTGTGCCTTCTCCATGTTGCTTATTGTGCCTTCTCCATGTTGCTTATTGTGCCTTCTCCATGTTGCTTATTGTGCCTTCTCCATGTTGCTTATTGTGCCTTCTCCATGTTGCTTATTGTGCCTTCTCCATGTTGCTTATTGTGCCTTCTCCATGTTGCTTATTGTGCCTTCTCCATGTTGCTTATTGTGCCTTCTCCATGTTGCTTATTGTGCCTTCTCCATGTTGCTTATTGTGCCTTCTCCATGTTGCTTATTGTGCCTTCTCCATGTTGCTTATTGTGCCTTCTCCATGTTGCTTATTGTGCCTTCTCCATGTTGCTTATTGTGCCTTCTCCATGTTGCTTATTGTGCCTTCTCCATGTTGCTTATTGTGCCTTCTCCATGTTGCTTATTGTGCCTTCTCCATGTTGCTTATTGTGCCTTCTCCATGTTGCTTATTGTGCCTTCTCCATGTTGCTTATTGTGCCTTCTCCATGTTGCTTATTGTGCCTTCTCCATGTTGCTTATTGTGCCTTCTCCATGTTGCTTATTGTACCGCCATTTCCAATCCAGCTGTCACGTGACCGGACAAGCACCGCTTCTCATTGTTTCGTGTTTTGAGTCGACTCAAACCACCGCTTCTCATTGGACCACATCCGTCCCCAGCCTCCACCGCCTTTCACACAACCCGCAACACACCCCGTCTCCTGCCCTTGCGCCTACCTTCATCTGTCTCGCAATCTTTGGGACACCCGCGGGAGCGAGAAGGCGGTTGGCGCACTTTCCTGGAAGGAGCAGCAGAGAAGATGAGAGCAATGCGGGGAAGAAGAGCGACGAGGAGCAGTGGAAAGAGGGAGAAGGAGGGGGGGGGGGGGAAAGAGAGAGAGGGTATACGAGAAAGGCCCATTAGCTGCATCGTTCCATGGGGTTCATAAGGTCTCTAAACGCTCGGGGCCATGACGCACACACACACCCCCGGGACAATGCAGCTACTGGGCCTTTCCTGGGGGGGTGTGTGTGCGTCATGAGGCAAGGTCTGATTCTGCTATAGAGGCATAACCGCAAGCAAGCAAGCAAGCACTGCACGAAGAACGCTCCCCTTCCTTCCCTCGTGCATGAATGACAAGAACAGAGCACACACGATAGTAAAGAAGCATTTCCGCACCATCACTTCACTGGCTCATATCACATTGCACCCCCATCGCTGTAGCATCACACCATAACTGCAAGGACGCACATATACAACCCCTCACCCACCTACCTCCCCACCTACCCACCCATCCACCCACCGTTGTGTGCAATGACAACGAAGTCAAACTCCCCTGCCTTGCGCCCCGTCTCCTCCAGCACCCACTTGCCCCCCCTCGCCCTCATCTTCCCTATCCACACCGGCCGCTCCACCCCCACCACGCCCTCCTTCACCTGCAGTCAGCGGCAATTGGTAAGGAACGGGATAGATACAGTGCAAGGGATGATCAGGTAAACCTCGCCCTCATCTTGCCCATCCACACCGGCTGCTCACCCCCACTACGCCTTCCTTCACCTGTGGCCAGGGGGGGTTCAAGGGATAGGGTGGAGAGGAAGGGGCGATGGCAGAGGGTGATGGGGGGTGTGTGGGAGGGCGGAGGAGCGAGGTAAAGAACGAGGACGGTGGGCAAATGAGGCCTCATTTCCCTATCCACACCGGCCACTCCACCCCCACCACACCCTCCCTCCCCCATCTGTGGTCCGTAGGGGGAGTGGGGATGGGGGTTGGGAGGGGAACAGCTATGGACCGGTCTGATTGAATTATAGCCTGCATTGAGGCGCCTCAAAAGCAGACTCAGCCTGATTCGCACTGCCTGATCTACCCCCACCACTGCCTGATCTACCCCCACCACTGCCTGATCTACCCCCACCACTGCCTGATCTACCCCCACCACTGCCTGATCTACCCCCACCACTGCCTGATCTACCCCCACCACTGCCTGATCTACCCCCACCATGCTCTCTTCATCTGTGGTCAGCGGGGGAGGGGAAGCAGGTAGGGAGGGGAACTGCTACAGACGGGTCTGCATGTGGGAAGCAGGTTGAAGCCTCATCTGCATGTTGGCACTGCGTGCTCCTCTGGCCATCACATCACTCCCTCCCTCCCGCCCCCTCCTGCCCTTCCAGCAAGGGGTGAGGTGAAAGAGGAGCCGTGGGAAAAGGGGGGTGCGGGAAAAGTTGCGAGTGGAGAGAGCGAATGGATTACCGGTGGGGAATTGGGGCAGTACCATGGGATGCGTGTGCGCCCACTGCCCATGCGAGTGATTGTCCGTGGGGGGGGGGGGGGGAGTGACTGTGTGGGGGAGTGTCACCTTATCCGCAATCACGTGTTCGCAGAACGCTCGCATCCCATTGGGACTAACGAGCCTCCGTGCCTCTCCACCGCCACCGCCACCGCCACCGCCACCGCTGCCACCACTCAGCAGCGGTGAAAACGCCCCCCCTGCCTGCAGCGTGCCAATGCGCCCCTCGTCCCACACTCGCAGGGCGCCTTCCTTGAGCCACCTGGCGGTGTGCAGTGGAGTGCGGTGTGGTGGAGTGCGGTTTAGGACATAATTGCAGAAAATAGCATTTGGGCTTATTGTGTCGCGTCGCACAGGATAAACAATAGACGTTGCCTCGCCAGTCCGTGACTGCCAACAGCGCATCTGATCTGACACCTGGATGTAAGAAGAATTGCACGATTCCCACCTGTCAACGTATGATTGGAAGCGATCATCTGTAACAGTGAAGAACTGTGCTGCGTGGTCAAACAGGCGCAGCTTCCCGGCAACTTCCACCTCCCGAGTGGCCATCCGCCCGCCCAACCCATGCTTGCCCTGCCTCGAGGAGAGGGAGAAGGGAGGAGAAGGGAGAAAGGGTGAAAGCGGAGAGGGTGGAATGGGGTTGATATGGAAAGGGAGAGAGGTAAGGAAGAGGCGGAGAGGGGAGGACGAGGGAGGAGCACAAGAGGCAGGTGGGATGAGCACAAGAGGCAGGTGGGATGAGCACAAGAGGCAGGTGGGATGAGCACAAGAGGCAGGTGGGATGAGCACACCCTTGCTCCCCTCAGCATGGGACCTTCAGCCCTTGCAAGAACCCTTGCGGCTAGTCCCATGCCGCCCATCCCACTCACTGTGCTGCTCAACCTAAACCCCTCATAAGCCCCTACTCACCACTTACTGAACCCCTACTAAGCCCCTTTCTGAACTGAACCCTCACTGAACCTCCACCAAACTCCAAGTAACCTCCTGCAAGGCCCCGTCGTACAGTGCCAAACGGTGCTGCAGTGCCGCGTTCCGCCAGTCTCAGAGTGCACATGAGCCCCTGCTAAGCCCCGCCTAAACCCCTCTAAACCCCTCATAAACGGCTACTTAACTCCCTGCAAAACTCCGCCATACAGTATCGAACACGGTGCTGCGGATGCCGCGCTCCGCCAGCCCCAGCGCGCACATCAGCCCCGCCATCCCGCCGCCCAGAATCGCCACATGCGGGTCGCGGCTCATTTGCTCCGGGAATTCCGCGGGCTCCAGCACCACGTGGCTGCGCTTCTGCCGCTCGCGCCTCCCGCTTCCGCCTCCCTCGCGCGCTTCCGCCTCCGCTCCTGCGCCATCCCCGTTCTCTCCCGCCTGCTGCGCGTCTCCACTTCCTCTTCCACGCGCTGGCTTACCGCCGCTCCGCTTTCCCCCCGAAGGCTTGCTCCCACTCCGCCCGCCTTTCTCCGCGATCCGCCGCGCAGCGCCGGAAATCGCATTCTCGCTGCTGCTGCTGCCGCCTGTGCGGCTCCACTGCTTCGCGAACGAGCTCGGCTTCTCACCCTCGCCGGCAGCAGCGCATCGTACGGTCGAGCGCGACCCGCGGACTAATTTCAAAGGTATATTGCTCTCTACACGAGCCGATCCGTCGCTAAGTAGCTCGCTTAGATGCTTGCGATGCGTCCGAACGACAATGTCTCGAGGTATCAGCGTTGGTCTTATGTGGACACTGAGAGTTTTCTGAGGGGGGTTTTGGAGAAAGGGTGAGCGAAGGGAAGAGCACGGCTGGAGCAATGTCGCGGACGCCATGGATCGCCAGGCTTGGGGAGTGGCGCGAAATGACTTGGGTCTCAGACTTGCCGCTCGAGAATTTAGACACTTCACGGACAACTCTGATGTAAAGAGCACTAATAATAAGTGCAACTATATATATACATTTCAGTCACATATAGTCCGAGAAAATGACAAATATGAAGAATGAAGTCGAATAGGTGAAAAATCAAGAATCAGTAGAAAAACAGGGACATAAACAAAAAAACAAATAAACAAAAATATAAAAACTGAAAAAAAACTGCTTAAAAACTGCTTCGTCTTTTTTTTTCATATTTAAAAAACTGCTTTCATAGCCCTTCACACATTTCCATAGAATCTAGGGAATGTGCTCAGGTAGCTGTGTAAGCTCTGAATACAATTATTGTGCTTTCAAAAGATGAAGCTATTATTGAGTTGTTTTTGAGCGGTGCGGGAGCTTCTGCCACGCAGCAGCTTCGAGCTTCCTCCTCACTCTCGCCTTCCTCTCTGCCCACACGCCACCTCTCACCCTCGTCACCGTCTCGCTCCACGCGTTCTGGTCTGTTCCACTTCGGATACATAACCTCAAAAAGCTCCGAGAATCCGCTCGTTTTTCTACGCCTACTCACGTTACGCCTTACTATAGTCAAAGCTATCTCTTCCTTGTCTTCGTTAACTGGACTTCGTCACTGTTCGTCGAGGTTGCAGAACACAAGAGAGAACCAGGGAAGCCACCTCTCCACGAACTCCAAGCGGCGATGAGCGAATTCATCCAGGCAGCCAGTCACAGCGCACGAGTATCGGTCGAGATAGTATCTGCGCGTGGCCTCCGCAACGAGCGGAAGCTCCCCTTCGCGCGCATGAGCCCCTGCGCTCTCGTCTCCCTCCCCGCCCTCCCATCCTGCTGGAAAGCATTGCCGCCTGCCGTCAACGGCGGGCGAAACCCTAATTGGGGCGGCGGGCCGCAATTCACGGCGGAATTCGTGGTGAATGATCTGCTGCCCCGCTTAGAGTCGTCTCCGCAGGAGCCATCCGCCTCCTTCGTCCCTTCCGACTCTTCCTTTCCCGCCTCTCCCATTTCCTCCGCTTCCGCCGATTACAAATCTACTGCCTCAACGTTTCCTTCCCCCGCCTCCTCCGCCGCCGCAGCATCCTCCCCCTCCGCGGTTCTTCCCCCCCACGCGCGCGCGCAAGTGCGCGTGGAGCTCTTCAGCTCCGCCGCCCTGCGCAAGTCGCTCGGCGCGGCCACCGTGGTGCTAGACGCGGCGCTCCGCCGACCGGGGGAGTGGCAATTAGCGCAGCTGCCAGTGATGCGCGCGAAGCGCAAGGGGGGAGACGAGCGCGTGAAGCAGAGCGGATGGGTGACGGTGCGGGTGAGGGTTGGGGGAATAGCGGAGGGGGGAAAGGCGGAGGGGGGAGCACCATGCTGGCAGCCGCCGCTTGCACCCATCCCGTCATTCTACAAGCACACAGGGACTGATGACTGTGCTGACGTGGATGGTGCTGACGTGGACGGTGCGAGAAGAGAGGGTGCAGCAGCTGCGGCGGGTGCAGTCCCAGCTGGCGCACCAGCAATACCAATCAGGGTGCAGGAGCACTTCGAGGCTACACAGTTACCATCATCCCAGAGCTGTCAGACCACTGCTCATCCATCTCAACCGCCTCCAACACCTCCACCACCGCCTGTTACTGGTTTCCCTGCCGTACCCCCTAATAGTCACACTGTGCCACCTTATTACCCTCCTCCCCAGTATCCCCTACCCAACCTGGGACCATACGCCCAATCAGCCAGCAGCAGTCACCCATACACAGCCTATCCAGGGCCGACCAATCCCCCTGCACCACGGTACCCCTCGTTACAAGCACCCCCAGTTACAGCGTACAAGCACAGCAAGCATGGGCAGAAGAGGAGGGGGGCTGGCAGGGCGGGGCTGGGGGCAGGGTTGGCGCTGGGGGCACTGGGTGGGCTGTTGGTGGGGGATGCCATTGGGGATGCTATTGGGGATGGGGTTGGGGATGCTGGAGGGTTCGATTTTGGAGGGTTTGGTGACTTCGGCTTTTGATTCGATAAATGTGTAGCTTTAGTGTCTCTGGTGTGGCAAGTGTACTGTGTTTTTGTACAGGAAATTGTACATATGGCTAGTAAGAAGTACAAACTGTGCTGTTCACTTTGATGTTAGTGAGCAAAAAAATGCAGGGAAATTTTGTTCAAGAAACTTCTTAGACTTGTGAAGAACCGTAATGTTAGAATAGTAGCTAGAGAGAGCCTTAGGGTTTGGTGGGAGAGAGTGTTGGCCAAACAAAGAAGAGGGTTCACTATAGGCTCGAGGGTACAAATAGGAGACAAAGGAGGTGCACCACCAATACAAAGAGTTTATAACTACACTAAAGCTACAGCTACAGGCAGGTACATAAATATATATAAATATATATTCTAACACTCCCCCATAACTGCCTGCAGCAGGAGCTTGTGCAGCAACAACTCCTGGATGGGTACACCACGAACAGAGAAAGCAGCAACAGGAGGCAAGTGCAATGACAACCAGTGCAGTGGTGGCGGAGGCAGCTGCAGCAAGCCCTGAGGCAAGAAAGAGAGAACGAAGACGATGTGCTGTGGCGCGCTTAGTTTGCAGCTCAACAGCAAAGAAGACGAACGAAGACGATGTGCTGTGGCGCGCTTAGTTTGCAGCTCAACAGCAAAGAAGACGAACGAAGACGATGTGCTGTGGCGCGCTTAGTTTGCAGCTCAACAGCAAAGAAGACGAACGAAGAGAGAGAAGCGTCAGGGGCTGCAGAAGTAGGTGCCACATAGCAGTGGACGGCAGCTGCAGATGCGTGGCTACTGGTTCCACCACTCTCTCTTACCCTCCCTTAGCATCTCTCCCCCCCCCCCCTCTCCCCGACAGCAACAAGTGCTGCAGGGAGAGAGTAAGAGGGAAGGAGAGTGGGGGAGGGACGAGCTACTGGTGGTTCACACCCTCCGCCCCCAGAACTCCCGTCCCCCCCCCCCACGGCGGGAGCCGCGGAAGGGAAGGGCGGGGGGGGGGGGGGGGGGGGGGCGGCATACGGAGCTGCCGGCGCCGGCGTCCCCTGCTGGCGCAAGCGCTGGCGTGCGCGGATGGCGCAGGCGCTGGCGCCTCGCGGCTGGCGCAGCGCTGGCGCTTCGCGGCTTGCGCACGCGCTGGCGCTGCGTTCCGCACTGGCGCTGGCCGCGAAGTGCTGGCGCAGGTGCGGGCGTTGGCGCGGACGACGGGCAGGGCGACGCGGGCAGAGTAGGGCGCACGGGGCGCGACGAACAGGCAGAGCAGGGCGCAGCGGGGCGCGACGAACGGGAGGGCGCACGGGGCGCGACTCGGGTGACCCGCGGGGCGCCGAAACGTGGGGCCGCGGGCGACGGGAAGGAGGGCGCACGGGGCGCGACGAGTATGCCTTCGGAGCGCGAATCGAGTGGGGCCTGCAGAGAGCGAAACGCGGGACCCATGATCCTAAAAAAAAAATAGGTCCTTAGGACCGATTATTGCTCTGATACCATGTTAGAATAGTAGCTAGAGAGAGCCTTAGGGTTTGGTGGGAGAGAGTGTTGGCCAAACAAAGAAGAGGGTTCACTATAGGCTCGAGGGTACAAATAGGAGACAAAGGAGGTGCACCACCAATACAAAGAGTTTATAACTACACTAAAGCTACAGCTACAGGCAGGTACATAAATATATATAAATATATATTCTAACACGTAAGTGTACTGTATACCGTATAGTGTCAGAATCATAGGCAGAAATGATAGAACAGAAAAGAGGGGTTTGGACTAGCAGCAGCAGGATACATATAGGTGTCAAATGTTGTAGCCTATAGTGAGGTTTGTCTTAGGGGGTACAAAACTTAGGGTTAGCTATATGTACCCCAACCAACATCAATGCACCATCCATTCTTCATTCTGACATGGTATCAGTTAGGTTAGGATCCTGTGGGATCCCGTTCCGCCGTTCTCCGTTCGTACCACCCGAGCCTGATCCTAGCTCTCGTTCGTCTCCTTCTCGTTGTTACCGAGCCTAGCGCCGAGCCACGCTCTCGTTCGTATCGTTCCAGCTGTTACCGAGCCTAGCATCGAGCCACGCTCTCGTTCGTAGCGTAGCCCGCCCCCCCGTCGCGTCGCCTTCCCCCCCACTCGAGTCGCGCCCGTCCCTTTCCCCCTGTCGCGTCGCGCTCCCCCCGTCGCGTCGCGTCCGCTCCTTCCCCCCGTCGCGTCGCCTTCCCCCTGTCCCGTCGCGCCCCCCCTTTCCCCCCCGTCGCGTCGCCCTCCCCCTGTCCCGTCGCGCCCGCCCCTTTCCCCCCGTCGCGTCGCCCTCCCCCTGTCCCGTCGCTCCCGCCCTCTCCCCCCGTCGCGTCGCCCGTCCCCGCAGCGCCCGCCACTGTCGCTCGCGACCGCGCTCGTCGCCGCCGCGCCTGCCGCCGTCGCCCGCCCCCTGCGCGCCTCGCCGCGGCCCCGCCGTCGTCGCCCGCCGCTGCGCGCGTCGCCGCTGCGCCCCCTGCCGTCGCACGTTGCGCGCGCTGCTGGCCCCTGCTGCCGAGCGCGCTGCCGTCGCCCGCCGCTGCGCCCGTTCCCGTTCCCCGCTGCTTAGTCCCCTGTTACCTCCCGCTGTCACGCCCGCTGTGGCGTCCGCTCCTCCCCTGTCCCAGAGTACCGCCGAACCCTAATTTGCCTCTCACCTACTGCTGTCCCCTCCCTCTCCGTTCGCGTTCGTTTTCACTATGGCGACTCAGCGTGTCCTTCGTTTCGACGCTGACGGTAGACCTCTTGATTTTTCCGTCTGGCTTCTTCGTGCTCGCCGTCTGTTAGAGAGTCAGGTCCAGGCAGGCGAGACCCTCTGGGCGCACGCTACTGGTGCCCTACCTGCGCCCCCCGACCCTACGCCTTTAGGACCTGCCCCTGACGACGCCGCTAGAGCCCGCTTTGCCACTCAGCGAGCTGACCAGACGGCTTGGACGTCGCGTGACGCTGCGGCCTGCATCGCGCTCAGCAGCCTCCTCCCTGAGTCTGAGGAGGTTCACTTCACTCAGGTTCGCACCGCTGCTGAGTACCTCACTGCGATTAAGGCCCGCTACTCTACTCCCGCTACTGTCTCTCTTGGCCGCCTGTTCCTCCCGTTCCTGTTTCCTGACCTAGCGTCTTTTGAGCGCTCTGCTGACTTGATCGCTCACCTCCGCTCGCTCGACGCTAGTTACCGCGCTGCTTGCACTGAGGCACAGCTTGCACTGCTTCCTCCCCCTATGGCGATTACTATTTATTTCATCGCCACTAGCCTCCCTGACCGCCTTGCCTCCGTTCGCGACGCGCTTCTGCTGAAGCACCCTAGTGAGCTCACCGTCGAGGTCCTTGAGTCTTCACTCAAGGACGTCGAGAGCAACCTTCGCTCGGTAGCCGCTGCCTCTGGTGCTGTGCCCCCCCCACTCTTCCACGGGTGCACAGTCCCGCAGTTACCCACCTTTACTGCCTCACTTGCCACTGCCGCTACTGACGCGACTGCAGCTGCTGTTACGACTGCGTCGCGGTCCCGCGGTAGGGGTGGCAAGAAAGGCGGTTCTGGTGGTGGTAGTGGAGGTGGAGGCGGAGGTAGTGGAGGTGGAGGCGGAGGTAGTGGAGGTGGCGTTGCGCCTGGCGGCGGTGGAGGTTCAGGGCCTGGAGAGGCGCCTCGTGCAGTGACTGGTGACTCCACTGCGCCTGCTGGTGGTGGCGACGCCCGAGTTCGTCAGTCGCCTCCTGTACTTCCTGCCCCGGTTGGTGGAGCAGCGGCGTGGTACCAGGCTCAGCGTCAGCAGCAGCTTCTGCAGCACCAGCAGCCCCTCTCCTCCCAGCAGCCTCAGCAGCAGCAGCGGCAGCAGCTGGCTCCAGGGTCGGGGCTGCGTCAGACCCAGCGCGGTGCTGCTTACACTCCCTGCACCTACCAGGTTCTGACAGGCACTCGTCGTGGCCACCCTTGTGGCCGGTTTCACCCCCCTGGTCAGTGCTTTGCTCAGCTCACTGACACGGTTCGTTTAATTTACGGGGTTGGTGCTCCTGCCCCTGACTGGCTGCCTCTTGTTCAGCGTTACGGCTCCGCTCTGTGGGGCATGTCTGCTGAGCAGTTAGTTGATCTGATTAGTACTACCCATGCTATGTATGCTGTTGTTGACTCTAGTGTTTCTGACTCTGTTTACTCTGGTGTTGTTAGCTTAGGTGCTAGCCTTGCTCAGTTGCCTGTTGCTAGTGTAGGTTCTTGTGTAGACTCTAGTCCAGCGGCTACCTCAGAGGACGGTTCGCTGTCGTTCACGCTGGACTCTGGAGCCTCTCACTGCTTCTTTCGTGACAGCACGACACTTACGCCTCTTCCTGCGCCTGTTTCTGTGGCGCTGGCTGATCCCACTTCGGGACCAGTCACCGCGCGTCACACTACCACCTTGCCGTGTCCGGCTGCTCCTTCTGGGTCTCTCACTGGGTTTCACGTCCCCTCGTTCTCCCGGAACTTGGTGGGCGTGCGACCCCTCGTGAGTCAGCACGTGGGTGTGTGGTTTAGCGGAGAGACTGCGGTGTGTGTTGACGGAGACTCTTACCAGCCGCTGGCCACCTTTACTGCTGAGCCGGGCTCCGGTCTCTACACTCTTCACACTGGCCCGCTGGCTCAGCAGCGACTGCAGCAGCAGCAGCAGCAGCAGCAGCAGCCGCAGCAGCAGCAGCAGCAGCAGCCGCAGTAGCAGCCACAGCCGCCCCTCCTGCCCCCGGCCCCTGTTTTGCCCCCCGTTCGAGTCCTCGCGTCTCACCAGGTTGCTCCGTCCCCCCAGGTAGCTGTGTCTTGTCAGGTTCCTGTGTCTAGTCCGGTCGCTGCGTCGTGCTCCTGTCGGTCGCTTGCCCACCCCACCGTTTTGTGGCACCACCGGCTGGGGCACCCTTCTCCTCCTCGTCTTCGCGCTATGTCTCGTCAGCGTCTTGTCTTAGGTCTCCCGCGTGTCTTGCCGTCGCTGCCACCGTCTCTTGCACCACCGTGCGGTCCTTGCGTCGAGGGTAGGCTGCGCGCCACCCCTCACTCCTCCT